TTACTGACTTAGTCGTAGATAGATGCGGTTGTTCATGTAATTTATGCTGTGTATTGAAAGGTTTGGCAAATCAAAAAATTCGTTGGCAAATTAAAACGCGCTTTTAAAATTCTTCATTGTTTTACCTTTTAGTTATCCTGAAATCACGAATATCTGTTTATTTCCATTTATAACGGGACCCTGTCGTGCCCTACCGGCAAAATATCTTCAGGCACCCGTTGTGTCAAGTGATCACGCCATCAAGACTTCAAACTCACCTTATGTCAAATCCAAAAGTTAAAGAAAATTCACGACAAATCGTGAAATTCTACCTCCTCGTGTGGCAGATATAGATCTTGAGGCTGCGTGTACGTTATCCAGGACTTATAACTTTCTATTATTGTGAGTAATTGCTATTTTGTTTACCAGCAGGGAATGATAAGTAAAACCAACTGAGTCAAAGCTGGCAGGTGATAAGGTAATGCAAGATAAGGTGGGACGCATGCGCAATACTGCATGCCAAAAACCTCTCGCCGAATTGCTTGTGCGAACCGTTTAAGATGGGAAAGATCAAAGAGATGTGTCTCATTTGGGTGATTTTGCAAGCTATCATCTCACAGTGGTACATAAGTTTAGGTTTCATAAAACATTTCACTTAATTAAAGAGATACAGTCCGTCACTGGCTTACACTGTAAGGAATTGTGTTAGGTAGAACTCCTCTGATCTCAGACTTATTGTCGATCTCAGAGAAGATGTGAAAACCTCACACAATTAATTATGTTGATGGACAACCGGGGATGATCAAGCCCGGCTGTGGTAACAATTTCTTTCATTTTATAGCGTATTTCATAATTTTCAATCGTTTTCTTCACAATATTTGCATACATTTTATACCCTCGACCCAGGCTCGGTACACTACGGTGCAGTTTTTAGTCGTCGGTGGCTTTATGTACATACGGACCCAGGCCTATACACTCTCTGGCAGTCTCAGACGTTTAAAGATATCATTTTCCTCTTCAACTTTCGTGTTGTCGATAGCTAAGGCACCTAAGCAGATCTATTGGTAATTAGATGTGATACTTCCAAACAACGCCTGCCAGATGTCATTAGAAATACTAAGACACGTAAAGAAAACGAGCCACTGGCTCGCGTGAGCTTGCATACAAAACTGATTGTTTGCCTATGAATAAAGGGGGTAAGTTTCTAAAGAAACTGTGGTGCTACGTCGGTGGGAGAGTATAGCAGGTAATTTTGTGTTAACAAAAAATTGGCCACCGTAAAGAGTAAAAAGCCTAATTTACGTTTTCAACTCAGTTGTTGACACTAAATTACCTATTGTTTGCCTATGATAAGTTACGTTCACAAGTTACCCGATGTTACTGACTCTACAGGAACACCAATAATTTTAATAATATATATTGAGAAGTGTCGTTAATTAGCTCCTGTAATTAGGACATTTGAGCACTCGCTTTGCTCCTAATATCTGCCAAACTCTTCTGTACGTACATTAGTGTGTGCTTTAGCACGTTTGCCCTTCTTCTTTTCACAAAGATGAGAATCGTTCCAGGATATAGCAATTTTTTTTAATAAAAACCAGTCCCTGAGATCACCCTCTCGATAGTAAAAGTGTGTAACAAGAACTTTTAGTCTACCTCTAAGCATAAGTTTTTAGCAACCCTGTTTGCAGTTTTTATCCACCCTGAGCAATCTTGTTGCTCTGAACAAATGAGTTCAAGCAAGAACCTAGGAGATTATAAAACATATTATTTTGTTTTGTGTCTAATTTAGTTTTAGTATTCAATGCCCTTCGCTATTCAAAATATTCGCTCCGCGTGCTCGATGTAAATTTCGGTATTAGACAGGCCTCCGGCTGAACAGAACCGTGGCTGAGAAGGTATCCCTCGAAGAAAACTTAACAAAACTTTGTAAAATAGTTCTTATGGATGGTAAAATTTACTTTCAATTTTCATGATTTTAAATATTTTCAATATTTTTACGTGGTTAAATAACCACCGCAAGGACCAACAACAAGCGTTCGTTGAAAATTTACGATAATGAGTAGTTAAAGCAGCCACGTTTTCAGTTTACAAATCTTTTGTTTTCCACTGTCCGTAAAACAAAAGAAGAGTCGATAACATTTATGATAATAATAGAGAGCGGAAGCTAGATTGCTCAAAGAAACTCTTGTTCTTTGTTTGCATGATCCTATAAAGTAAACAAGTGCGTGTCACTGCTTTAAATTTAATCAAAGCATGTGGTATTCACTAAGTCGGAAGGATCGCTCGCTAAACATTGTTTAATGCTGGAGAATTTTGCTTCATCGATGTAGCAGTTGATTAGTTGGTGAGTATACACTGCCACTTACATGCATATCTCTTATTTTGTCTATTACACCATATGAAGTTCTTGATCTGTCCTGAAATCCAGATCAAAGTCAACAAATCTGGCCGCCTAACACGCCTCACCATTCAAGAAATCGGTGATCTTGAAACATCAGGTAATCAGGAACCAGTTTCGTGCCATTGCCTCGACGCAGCCTCCCATTTGTAAGTACAGTAGTTGTATTTACCCCTTAAATATGGCTCACATAAAAACAAAAATCTATGCCGTTGACCTGTTAAGACGCTTTGATAGATTCTATGGTTGCTGGTTAAACATAAACATTTATTCTGAAAGGACTGAAAGAGGTGCGCATGCAAGTGTTTCAGAATATTATTCCAATGGCATCGTACCTCAATCGCATCTCAGATGAAACTGTCTCTCAAATTATTGTTTGCTCGGTAACAAAAAATGAAACGTTTCTTTAATAGTAGTTTTAACAGTGCTTATTTCTTCACAAGATAAAAATTGCATATTGTATTTCACAAAGTAAGACGTTAATAGTAGTAAAAAGGTCGGAAATGATAAAAATATGGAAAATATTCTTAACTCTCAACGCTATCTTGCATTAAAAAAAATTCAACGATTTAAAAAAGAAGTTTTTTTTTTCGCTTGGGGGAAATGACAGGAGTTGTTTCCAAAGTATATTTCATCTTCTTTTTCCTCTGCAGTCTCTCAACCTCTTCTGCAGGTTGCCACGAACGAGATCTCGTGCTGGCCAGTCTTGCTGACCGAGATGAAATATTAGGGTGGTGTTCCAAACTTAGAATAAGCCATAAGTTATGATTTATGATTATTACACTGTAGGGCTTGAAACTGTGCAGCTTTGATTGAGTGTGCTTTTGGTTTAAGGAGATTTGCCTACATCGAAAAATTTCTAGAATTTTAAATGAGACTTTTGAGCAATGACTTGACATATCGAAGTATTCTAGTCAATAAGACTTAAGATAAAGCTAAATTCGGAGGTAATCTGGGTAATCAGGAACCTTCAACCTTTTCTGTCATGAAGAGTCAGTTTTGTACGTTCTTGTTGTACATTTTTATATCACGGTGTAAAAGTATGTGTGTAAAAAGTTGAAATCTTACTACATAAATTAAAAGACCTTAAGAAAAAACTAGTAACGGCAAGAGGTCATGTGCCTCCTGCTATGGAGGGATAAGGTGTTGCAATAAATTTTGGGCTATGTACACGGGTTTGTTTTTGGAGTAAAAAGTGTATCCTTCTGAAGGTAAAATTTCCAATTTGTTCCTACCCCGGAACAGACAAATTAGATCAAAATATCAAACAAAATGACGGTATTCTGAAAGTAATTTGAGTAGGTGACACTCACTTAGAAGGTTTCGCAGGAATCTGTGAAAATAACCAAAGTTGAATTTGAGGTTTAAAAAGACAGCTTCTTAATGAACTTATTGCTTACGACGCCGACAGAAACTTAACCCGAAATCATCATTGCTTAACTAAAGGTTACCAGACCCACACACTAATCTCCTGTCTCACCTTCGTTAGCACCTCTGTTTCCTTTCACTCCTTTTATATGCTTTGTTTTGTTGACTGCGCAAGTAGTGAATAACTGTTGTCTATTTTTTCTGACCGTATTTTCCTGGACGTTAAAAATGAAAAAAAGCATACCAAGTTGGATTAAGGTTTAATTCTATTTGATCATCTGAGTTGATAATGTAAATTGGCCACTGTAAAAAGTTCTAAAGCGGACGCTTCGAAGGTCAGACCTTTGTCAGAGGTTTACACTCGTACTTAAGCGTATTTTTGAAGACTAAAGAACCTATCTCGTTCCAACCTCAACAGAATACGTTTTGAGATTTAATCTCTACAAGTTTCATCGAACTTCGAGGAGTCTTGGGGATCCTGCCTAGGATTTGACGTAAGTTACACAGACAAAACTAATTAGTTATTTGTTTTCTAAGCAATTTGTCAAATTTGTATCTTTGGTTTTCTTTGGCATACGATAATCACATATTCTTTTAGATTTCACCGCAAGTGTAACAGTGCATATCCTCTCCGCTGTCTCATCCACGAAAATTTGTATAGACTGGCTGATCTTTTTTCTTGTTTTGACGAAGCCTCGTTTGAAAAAACGATGAAAACTTATCGAAAAAACGAACATGCAGTCAGAACGTTGGTGCGAAGAAAAATGCAACCAGAGGTCGTAGTTGCTCCAGATAAATTGATTTCAATCGTACAAATGAGGAAAAAATATTCTACTTTAGTGGCAAATACGTAAGCTTTTTGTGATCTACAGATAATGATCTCTGAGTACACTTAGGGAGGGTAAAACTTTGATTATTAAAACCACCCCACATCTCCAGCTGATGGCTGGCTTACAACTATTTCCTGAAAACCAGTAATAAACTGAATTATTTTTAAAAAAATTTTCAAAACATCTGCCCGAAGAAATGTTTATGGACTTAGGGGAATTGTGATCTGATAGGCCCTAATTTGTGTAAATTTCAAGAGAGAACTAAATTAAGAAACTTGCTGCTCCGCGGATTAAACCTCTCTTTGTTTTTCAGCATCATTTCGTGTTTTTTGTTCAGTTTCGTACACGTGAAAAAAATGTTTCCGTTCTTATCCTATATTAACATATTGCGTTTTCCAATTTTGAGCTTGCTGTGAATTGTGAGTCGCTCGAAAAATATTTCATAATTTACTTTCCGTTTTCATTACTTTGAGACTGTTTAGGGATTGAGACTCCTCTAGATAAAACACCTTCAAGAACTCACCGAGATAAGGGAGGAACATATACAGTCATCTGGTTAATTATACGTGGATAAATAGAAAATACACGGTAATGACAAAGGACGTCAGAAAAGATATAAATAAAGAAATGGAAAAACGGGCCGCAAAGTTAATTAGTACTCGACGGGTAGTCCGAAGTTTTGTGTCGTTTCCGTAAATAGAGTAAATCGTGGCACGAAATACTGACCAGAACATCCATCAAGTCAAGAATATTCGTTCGATTTGGCAAGGTAATCGTAAATTTTGTTTCTTTTTAAGGATATGTACGTAACAATTGAAACCAACCAATTTTTAAACCATGGAGCTTGTGGGAGATTGCTTGTTTACCCGGACGTAGATCGTAGAGAAATTTGCCGCTTTAGACAATACTGAAAAACGAAAAAAATTTGTGTTTTTACAAAATCTGTTAAAATGAACTCAGTAGTTTTGGTTACTCTGGACTCATCAACACAGCCATCTCAAAATTAAATTTTCTTGAGTTGTCGGGCATTTTAAGAGGGGAAATTTAATCGGCCAGCATCGAAGTACTGAGATAAGTGTGATGAAGCACTAAAAGAAAGTAACCGTTTCGTTCCTTTCTTCTTTGAATTTTTATCTGCGTTATTCCAATGGTTTCAGTATCGTGAAACTCTTCATTTTATTTCCACCTTGCTTCGTCTCTTCACGGGAGGCATTTTGGAAAATAGCAAACCAAAATTATTTATAGATCTTTTTCATCCGGTAATTCGACTTGATTGTCAAAAATTTAATCAGCCACAAAGCTTGTTTAGAGTTTAAACCTTTACTTCGCCAAACAAAATCAAGCAGGCTTTTGGTGGTCGATGGAAAACGAGGTGAAAATGTTGACCGAACCGAGAGGGAAATATGGTAATTTGACTAATACAACGTTTGAGAGGCCGAAGCGATGCTGAGATAAGATTTATTGTTGACAAAAGTAAAGTACGATAGGGTGACTGGCACGCTTACAACATCTCGAGAAAGAGATTGTGTTCGCGAAATATTTCTGTCGGTAGCTTTGTTGACATTGTTTCTGTGAACCCCGCGAACCATGTTATCGAATGGTACTACAGCTGAAAGAAACTTGGATTTCGGTGTAACAAATCAAAATAGTATTTGCCGGAACCAAAAAGCTTGTTTTGCAAAATCGCAATAGAGTTAGAACAAAGAAATTCCATCCAAATCAGGGTCATATGTTTCCGCGCGGTCAAGCAGCACACGCCAAGCCAAAATAATTCACTGTAGAAGGATCGAACATGAGAAATTTCTGAGCGATGGCTGATTTTATATTAGGAACAATATAGTTGTTAGACATAACTCTTGTATGAGAACAATAGTTGGGTAAGATGCTCTTTGACAAGCCGCGTATAATTGTTTTTCTTGACATGTTTTTTTTTCTTTGGTAAAAAACTGAGACATTTGTCTTTCAAATTATTCATTCAACCGCCAATGAAAAAAATTGGGCAAATAGCTCATGTTAATTTCTTAGACGTTAGACGAAATAAAAAAAAATATTAAAAACGTCTCAAATAAGCGCTTCTACTCTGTTTTTTTCCTTCAAGCTTGTCTCGAGTTCTGACTTTCACGTGTAAGGAGGCTTTGGCGTGTCACTCGAGGTGTAAAAGGATTCCAAATGTCCTTTTAATGAGATAAAAATTTTTTCAACCAATTCAAAATAATGTCTTTTTGTACAACATTTTCCACCTGCAATAGCTAACAATGTATCATTATGATCCCACCCGGAAAGTTGGTCCTGCAGTTAATTTATCAACTACCTTCAAAAACGATTCATCTATTATTCTAAACAGTGGGGTTTATAAATTTCGAAGTTGTATGGGCGAAAATCAGGAAAGTTAATTCATCCTAAATCAATTTATGTTCGACAGAAGGTTAAAGCGAATAGCATTCGTCTTGCAATCATTCGGTTTTCCTCTTAAATTTGGCTTACTTATACAATCGGGACATACCAGATTATGTATAGTTGCGAGAAAAAAAGTTGAACTAAAGGAATAGTCAAGGAGTTAAGGTATTTGTTTTTTCATTTCCTATCAATTCATGAATTTTTAAAAATTTTAAACTTTGGGCGATACAATGGCAGTTGCGTTTTCAAAAACAGTCCATGGATCACGCTCCTATCCTATCTAATTCTTATTAAATTAAATCATCATGGTCTACATCTCTGCTTACGTACAGTCGTGAGTACAAAATGTGGCGCACGCAATTGAATTTTTTTCCGTAAAGTTCCCGTCCACGTTAACGGCGAGATCCTACACCTGCATGCTTTGTCTTCTACTGATGTTAGTGTTCGTCAAAATAACATTAAAGTAGTCGCGCAGGATGAAACTGCAAGTTTCTTAAGGTCCGTCTTCATAAAAAGTGAACGGAAATGCCAAATCGAAAACTTTCTTCAGGTTATTCAAATCGGCAAATTTTCCATCGACAACTTGTTCGAAGAAACCATTTTTAAAGGCAAATTTGAACACGAACCACAGAGACCTTTGTATCCACTGGATCGAAAAATTAATTTGTTCATGCTCAGTTGTAGTTTTGCTAGGAAAATTTGATGAGCACTCACGAAACTTTAGTCGGTCCGGGCTGTACCTCGAGCAGCTCTTATTCGTTCCCTCCAAACTCTCCCGTCCGTATACATACCTCGATGTACGAATACCAAACATGAACCAATTTTTATGTAACTTACCTCTGATATTTCTGAACCATCTCTAACTCCCATCTTGCAAAAAGATCAATTTATATTCAGCATCAAAGCGAATCGTGATGGCTATCGGAGGGTAATCGAATTTCTTTGTATCTAAGTAATTGAACGATACGTGTTTCAAGCTGTCAAAGTCGAGGCAATAATATTTCTCAAAGTCGGAAGATTTGACAGGTTTTTTTTATGTTTTATTTCGATTTCATTTCAGGAGCAGCGAACAAACAACACGTCATTATGTCCAACATTAATTGCTCAACCAACACGCAGATGACCTCAAACTGTACAGATCTGGGAACAAAGCGAAGCAATTACAGCACTCCTTATGTAAACGGGATGACATTTTTCTATATTTTAATCATCGCCACTTCTCTAACAGCATACGGAATCGTCATCGCAACTGTTTGCGTCAATCGGCGTTTGAGAACGACGTGCAATTATTTCATCGTCAGTCTTGGAATAGCGGATTTAATGATCGTTTCCATGGTTATTCCAATAGGCATTGGCTTGATTCAGGGAACATTCCGCTTCAAGTCAGCCGAACAATGCGTATTTTTGTCTACAGTGAACTTAGTCAGCCTCTCAGCCGTGTCTTTGAATCTTTGCACTGTAAGTATGGAGAGGTACTTCGCTATTGCCTTTCCCTTCAAATACGAGGCATTCACGACGACCAAAACCACCGCGGGAGTAATAGGCGCTGTTTGGGCGTATTCATTGGTTGCCGCTCTGTTACCGATGATGGGTTGGAGAGCTCGGCCTGCAGCGCTTCGAAACAATGTCTGCCTCAATGACAACGTTGAAAGCTACACTCTCTTCATGGCCATAGGAAGTTTCTTCATTCCTGCGTTCATTATGTTAAGTACAAACACAATTGTTTATCGCATCGCCACGAGCCAGGCGAAGCGGGTTTTTCGCATCGTTCCAGTAATGGGTCCAAGCGCTGAAAAACTCCGTAAAAATTTCCGAGCAGCGAAGCGCATTTCTCTCATTGTGGGTGCGTATCTCCTTTGCTGGGTCCCTCATATGGTGGTGCTGGTAATGGGGCTTATTATAGGGGCACGCAACATACCACTTTTTGTGTACCCAATCACTTTGTCCCTACAATACAGTTGCTCGGCTGTGAACCCATGTCTATTCTGTTTTACCAACCGAGAGATGAGAGGCACATTGAAAAGACTTGCATGGAGAGTCTTACGAAGGACACCCAACATAACACATTCAAGTAATGGAGGCTTGGCGCTAGAAAGGAGGCGATCCACTGCTCACAGAATGAGCCAAGCTACAGATATTTCTACTTTGGGAAGTAAAGGCGACTCAAAGACAACCGTAGGGGTATGCCCTACAGATTTTTCAGCTTAAAAAGAAAATGATGGAAGCCACTTCCAAATTTGAACCTTCTTCTTGACCAGCATGAAAATGGATCAAGTAATACAACATTTACATGGACCGAAAATACGGCTTTTGCGACAAAAGTTGCCTCATCAGCATCATCATCATCATCATCATCATCATCATCATCATCATCATCATCATCATCTTTATTTCCTTTATTTTAACAATACAAAAATTTATTCACAGCATTAACAACTAGAAGGCGAGGAGACCCAGGAAGCCACCAGGCTTATGGGAGAGCCACCTCACTTACAATAATAAATCAAGTAAAGGAAAATTGCTGCGAATGTGCGGCTCGGCCAATTCACTGATTATTTAAGTAAAAACTCTTACATTTTCGTCTTCAAGCTTAGAAGGTTTGACGAACGAGTGAGTGAAACAGGAAGAGAATTCCAAATTTTAGGACCTTGGTAGAGAATTGTAAATTTCTTGGAGAAGGGTATGAGCACCATGAAGATCAGTTTTACTGGTGGTCATTGTTCACTGTTGCTCCAAAGGCGAAATCTCGGAATAACATTTTTCATAAGCTCGGCAATCGTGCTGGGACAATTGCAACTTGAGAAATAAAAAACTGATGAGCGGCGGGCCAAACGACTCTACTTAAATGGAACCTATTCCGCTGCAATTTATGCAGGTACACATCTTAATGTCAACTTGCTGTGCTAAAGACTCGAACTGGTCACCAAATGTCGCCATGAAAGCAAATATTTCGAAACCGATAGCAGAAAACACGATTCCACCGTTCTCACATTGTAAATTTGAAACTTAAACGTTAACTTCTGCTTGCCAGAAATAAATTTCGTTTGATGATTGCTTAGTGCGTAAATTCGAGTTACAACTCTCCGTTTTTGAAATCTATATTTTGCTATGCATAGAAATCATAGCGCACGGGAAAACAACCTATGTACATTCATTGTTCGAGGAAAAATAATAGAATTTATATATGTGTATGTGGGTGTGTGTTTGAAATGTTATATGTACTCGTCTTAGAAAACTTCCGAATGAAGCTTTACAAGTTTCGCAAATAAAAGTTGCTTACCTAGGCATCATATCTAGCGAGATATTTCATTCGTTTAGTCTAGATGTATAAATGCGCATAAAATTTCAAAAGAACCGAAATTCGCCCTCTTTACGTGGGTGGACGAAGAATTAAAAACAGGTGTTAAAGGTCTACAGGAACCTTTTTGTAAAGATTAAAAAAAAGGAAAATACACGATACCGAAAGATTTCTATGTTTGACATTTCTCCATTTGAGGACAGAATTAGATTTACAGGACCTTCTTTTGCACTTTCCTGCCTCTATGCTTGTACACGTTAGCATCAACTGTGGTTTTATTTCTTCTTGAGATTAGTCATGGAATTAGCCATGAATAGTAATTTATGAAAAGGCGGGAGGCTTGATTTGTTACCACTAGTAACTTTTATTTGCTTTATGATAACTGCCTAAACGTATTGTTATGAACAAATAAAGGTAATGTTAAAACTAGGTTCAATCTGGCTGTAAATGTAATTTGAAGGAAAACACAGCTGTTCTTTAGTATAATACTCTCAAGGAGATGTACCTTTGAGCTTCTGGGCGGCGAAGTCGTAACGTTTTGATTCAATTCTTTTACTCTAGTAGAAGCGTTAATTGAAAAACTTTTTTACCGTCCGCCTTTATCTAACCGGGCTGAAAATTTGCAATCAAAGTTACCAGGAACAAAGCACTGACGAAACCTTAAATGTTAAAATTGGTGTGTGAAGAAAAATTTGTCTTTTTAAAATTGAATTGTTTTATAGACATAGATATGAAAATAAATGCTGAAAGAGGGTACAAAATTATGTAATTATAATCTTTGCATATCTATAAATTTGAGGGTAGATATGTAGGGAGAGATGCGTATGCATAACACTGTAAAAAAGGTGATAGACCAACTGTAGATATAAACAGATTTAAAAAGTATTCATCCCTTCTTTCCTAGGTAATCAGGGTTAAATGTTTCTCTAAAAACCAACTTGAGCTTGTAAACAAATAGTAGAATTATCAGAATTATATTATGCGAAAAACTGCAAAATTATACGCCAATTTTTTTAGACATATCAGAATAGTCTAATAATCTGATTCAAGAGCAATAAACAATGTAATTATGAATGAGACATTCTACAAGTGTTTAGCTGACAGATGTCACTCGTGATAAGACTTTAATGTACAGGGAAGTTCTTGGTAACCAGAGGGGAGAAATATGAATCGGAACAGTGAAGGATTTAAGATGCAGAAGACCTGTACTGACTTTTGAACCAAGAATCAATGACGTGCAGAATATGTAGGCCATATTCCTTAACATGCACAAACAATGATTTGATCGGCACTGTATGATATATTTTAAAAATCAATTCGATGATGGGTCAATGCTTTCAATTATCAGGCATTTAGCAAAAATATTAAATAAAGGGTGTTTGAAAATACCATAGAATTGCCGTGGAGGCCTCCTACAGAAAAACCACCTTAATTTGTCTAATGATGATTTCTTGCCTAAACAAACATTTTGCACGAACATTAATCTTGTTATGTTGAATGCAATGAAATAAGAAGGGCGGGATTACGAATTTTGGGTTTTGAGCTTCATACAAACACAAAAAGTTACTATTAAGATTTTTTTTAAAAGACATCGTAGTTTTGCTATTATGACTTTTGTACCAGAAAACTTCTTTTATTTATTTAGTACCGACTGAAACTTCTATGATGTTGTTATCGATACACCGAATAAAACAGGATGTTGTTCTATCTATACACCCGTTTTCAAGAACGTTGCAATTTGAAAATACATATATAATATATACATCGTTTCTTGTCTCATTAAAAGAGACATGTATGTGTGTGTATATATATATATATATATATATATATATATAGGGGAAAAAACAGAGACTATACTTTCATCCCTACAAGCATATTTCGTGATTACTCACTCATAAGGGGATTTTAAAATCCCCTGATATGTATATATCATATCAAAAGCTCCCTAAGGCTTCCTCATAGCATGTCTACTAGATTACTTGGTGGGAGCTTTAACTGTTTGCTATCTCTTCCCAAGGCAACGTGATGTACGCGCGAATGACCAGTTGATTGATAACGGTAATAGGATCGAGTGGAGTCCGATTCGGTCTGTAATCATACGTGTGATTAACAAAATTGGATGACAGCGAGGCGGGAGTCCTATTTGTCGATGACGAGTGTGATTACAGACAGAATTGGGCGACACGAATTCCTGTTACCAATTAAAAATAACCGCTTCAATTTCCGGAAAAAAAAGGCTTACATTAAGGACAAACATCTCCGGTAGAGACAATGTCCGAAGTAAAAAAAATTTATCTGTTTTGGAAATTCCTCAGTTTTTCGATGGTTGTTGCTATGGTTATTGTGATCAATTCTGCGATTGGTGGATTTGGCTGAGTGGACTTACTATGATTGGCTGCTTCAACTGTCCGATTACAGGTGTCCGATTACAGCCAACTTCCCGATTACAACTGTTCAAAATGATAAGTGAGAAATAAAGCAGCTAATGCAGCAATCACATTTGAGGAAATTGTAATGGTTATGGTTTTGATTATCATCTTTGCAAGCGTTAACCGGATCATTTAAAGTAACCATATGTTTGACAATATCCTATATCGTTTAGTCAACAATTATGTTACTCAAGGTAGCTATAATCCAACCCGCCTTTAGGAGTCTGTTCACTTTTGATTTCAATAGAGTTGAATCAACTCACGTTCTGCTAGGCGTTCATTATTGCCCCCTTATTCTATCTGTCTTCCTTAAGACTAAGCCCTGAGGAACGTTACAATATGCACAATAACAACAGACACAAGATGAGGTTTCAAGACAACGTTTATTTAAAACTCAGATAGACTGACGGCCAGACAGTTAAAAAAATTTCGGAGAATGATGGCTATTTTGATGTTGAGAATTCTCTTTGTACCCAAGCAAGTAATTGCTTGCTTCTAATAAAATTCTCACGGCCGAATCAGTAGCGAAATAGCTCACAAAGTATAATGACGACCACGACATACCAAGAGGTAAACATGTACATATCGTTTTAGGCTTGCTTCCTATAATTACAACGATTCCGATCAATTATGTCCTTGACTGCTTGTCTCATTTCTGTCATCTTCCAGCAGTAGAGAAACGGGTTTAAACTTGAATTCAAGAGCGCAAGAGATCCTGTGTATCTTATGACAATAACATAAGATACGGCACTATATGGAAAAAGAGTTTCAAAAGATAACATTGCATATGGAAGATAGCATGTAAGTAATGTTATTTGGACCCACATTGCAGCTGAAACAGTTTTTTGGTATTTTTCAATGTTCCATGTTGGGATTCCTTCCCTGTTCCGTTGTCCGATTTCATTATCATTATGTTCTATTTGGGTTCGAAGGCGAAGATAAATTCTCATGTAGCAGTAAACTGAGATCATTAAACATAACAAGATTATTGCTGATGTTACATTTGAAAAAAATAGAAGGCCAGTAAGTTGCTTCATCAGAGGGACGCTTATACAGAAGAACCAAAAAAAAGCCAAGATTCCACCAACTCGCCTCAGTTTAACAACCTGTCTATATCGCATGCTTAGAGACAGAGCAAGAAGTCTGTCTACACTTATTGCTGTCAATGTCATCAACGAAACTCCACTGAAAACAATGCCTGAAATGCCTACTACTGTTCCAATGTGGTTGCAAATTTGTCGCAATTCGTTTACTTCGGTAATCAATTCAGCGGCAAACATTGGCTGAGTGATGACACCAACGCAAAGATCAGTGAGGGCAAGACAGCGAAACATCAGCTTTGATGGCGGATGAAGGGAAGACTTTTTCTGAAGGGCAATGAGTATCAAGACATTTCCCAGGCATGCAGTAATAGAAAAAATGAAGTTTAATATAGCAAGAAATATGCTATGATGTAATCCAAGCACATTTTCGCAATAAAGGGCACCAGCTGCCATTTTGGGTCCATTTTCAGTGATGTTGGACATTCTCCTCCTGCAAGGTAATGTTGTTCATTCGCTCATCAAAATTACGTAACGTTCTGATGTAGATTTCGCCCACCTTCCTTCAATTTTCCATGTAATACTGCCAAACATTATCCTGGGAAAGGTATGAAATTCTTATTCATTTAACATCTATGTGTGACATTACGATTTTTCAGACAATTACCCTCCAACGCGTTATTTGCTAATGTTTATCTTTGTAAAGGGCTAACTTCTTCGAAACGGCAGATGTTTAAAATCCCCTTCGGCCACTTTGAAAATTGGCATATTTTTAATTTTTGTTCGCTCAAAAACTTCTAAAGATGTATAACCTTCGTTTTGAATAATATCATGTTCCTAAACGTTGCGCTGATGATAATTGCGTTTTTAGTAAGAAGACGACAATGTTAATGTGTTCCTAGATCCGGTGTGAGATGTATGCCAATAATGTATGAAAGATATTGCTTGAGCAAGAATGAAATTAAAAAGTTCGTTTCTGGGACCGATTATACCTTCCTAGCAAAGAAAATTATTTAATGTTAATAATAAAGCAGCCGCTGAAACATTTAGTGGGTGGCAGTACCGATGCTATTTGGTAAACATCTTCTAGCAACAGCAAGCAACAGCCTAGCAAACCCTTCCCTTCCGTTCCTCATTTTTCCCGCTTTAAGTGGACAGTTTTAGATAAGAAATCTTGCGTGAGAGATGTACAAAGACATGCAAAATTTCACATTCAAAGTTCTCATGTTGTGTTTCAGTCCTGCATTTTAAAGCAATACTCCTAAACATTTGCATCGCATAAGTTACTGAATCATTCAATTCTGTGATAGATTACCTCACTCGCGTCGTCAACAACCTAGTAGCTTCCACATGATTACTGAAAATTTCTGTCTCCGAGTGAAACTACAAGCTGACTTACCTTATAAATCCTGACTTAATGCTCCTTGTAAACCAGGCGGTGTATCGCTTATCAAAATATTCTGGAGTGCATTAAAAAGCTCTGTATCTTGGTCACTATCGACCTAGCTTCGCCTTTCTAGCTATTACAATTAACCCGCATTAAAGCACCCGTATTGGCACGACCTCGAACCTATTAGCAGCGATCGGTTTTGAATGGAATTAGTATCGATGAATCTTTTGACAACCTATAGCTAGCATTCTGACATCTGTACGGTTTTGTGTGATGTAGATAGTTAGTCAGCAGGTGCGTTTTATTCATGCCTAAATTTTTTTAGCAATCTTTAACTCATAGTGCATTTGGGGATGGGTTTATCTGTGTTTTGCGATGTTCTTTTGATGTGCAACCGGTTACACTGCAGCAGGTTGATTTTCGTCGATTTTACTACAGTGATAAACTTCTGGGTGTTCAGTTTTAATTATCCTCGTAATTTCGGTGGGTGGAATACAGCATTGGTAGCAAATTTTGACCGGAATCGATCATTTCAAAGTACCTTCTAAATTTATTTGTTTTTTATTGTTTGGATTTGACCGTGTGAAATGACAAGTTAAACTGAAAAGCTTCAAACTATGCAATATCCAAAATCTCTTTGCTTTTTTGTTTGATCAGTATAATAACCTTTTACAGCCATCGAGATAAACAAGTTAAATATATCAATGTTGGCAGAGAGCCCGACTTTTTCAATTCTGCCTCCGTACTTAAGCTACGAAAGGCTGTCTTCCAGCCTTGACCGCCGAAGGAGCGCAAAAATAAGAAATAAAAAGTATTGGCAGCGTGAAGAAAACTGAGACCGGAGAGAGAGACCATGTGTCTCTTCTTTGGTTTCATCCTGTTTTGCTGAAGGTCATAAGAAGGCTTTAGTTTGTAATTAAAACGTACAATGTTTGTTAGGGGTAAATGTGAATATTCCCAATCCAGTGTTGTGTTGTGGAACTTTGACTAGAAGTACATCGGAAGTTTGGACTGACGGCGTTGTAAAGGCCAAAGTTTTGTTCATGGGGACTTGCACCTGCTTCACCGTTGAATTGGCATCCAGCACTTTTGGCGCTAACTGCACTGTTAATGTGCCATATCTCGTTCGGTGCTTGCCAAGTACCTACTGTGCATCCCTGACAAGTAATGTTCCGTATGTTGATAAGTTCATATGTGCGACACTTGGCTATCCATACACCAAACAGATCATGTCCTTCCAGTTTTGCGCGTGCGTAGTCAGTATGAACGAGACCATCGGCTGGAAAGTTGCAAGTGGCTCTGAGATGGGTTGAAACATCAGCGATTGACTTCATATGAGCCAAAGATAAGCGATAGGCATTCCAGTTTATGGTGCTCCCCTCTTCGTTTACAGGGCGGTCCACACTAAAGCCGCTTCTCTTAAACTGGTGGTTGTTTGCGAGCGAATAGGACTGTATCAGCGTCCAAACATACCCAACCTCAGAGTTCAAGTCGCAGTAGACTCTAAAAATATTTTTCTGGGCATCGTACACATCAAACATTCCAGACACGTTATGGCCATTTTTTGCAACTTCCATGCAATTGCGAGGATGCTTTATTTTCTCGCACCGCTGACCAGTGTAATTGGCAGGACAAGTGCAGTTGTACCTCACTGTGGCAGGGTCACAAATCTCCTGACAGGTCCCTCCCTGGAGACAAGGATTGTCCTTGCAACATCTGTTAACACACTGGCCAGTTTTACTGGACAAAGGTCTTCCTTTCTGATGAAAACAAATGAGAAAGTAGATATCAATGATAAGGTTCGCACGAGTATTGTACCGTGTTCGTTGAAAAATTAAATTTTTTTTTTATTCAGAATCCCTATTAAATACTGATAGATCACGACGATTAAGAACAGAACTTCTAGGTTTAATTAAGAGTCGCACGAGATCAACGCATAGCCTGTCTTTCTGTACAATAGTTAGTTAGTTACCTTTACTATGAAATTTTTTTGTCTATTTTCATGGAGCTAAAACCCACTCTAAGGAGAAGGCCCTTTAACAGTGACAATAGGTTGAGAATGAGGTTTTTGGAACTCCGATGTGGCCCATTAAAACTTACGCGAAAATACAATAAATAATAATGAAAGAGGTTTTAAAAAATAAATCCGCAAGGAGTAAGGGAGGTTCTTTTAGTTAGCTTGCACTTACATCAGACACGGAGTACTCCCTCACAAGATCGTAATACAATGCTCCATATTTGTATCTCAGTGCAGCTGGTTTCATGTACCTGTTCGCATCATTCATTTGACAGTTTTCTTGTGCAGTTTTATGTTCGTAGTTCATGGAGACACAACGACAGTCATTTATGCACAGGATGTGACATTCAGGAATCGTGGTAACTGTTGCAACTTTAAACACGTGACCCTCTAGGGCGTGGTCGGCGACGAGGTTCTGTCTTATATGGAAACTGAATGTTCGGCAAATGTTATCAGCAGAAACGAACTCTTGTCTTAATATTGAGAGTAGTAAAATAAACTTAAACCATCGAGGAATCTCCATTCTACTTCTGTGAATTAAGCTTGAAATACTGAAAAAGATAAGTATAAACATTTTTCACATGGTCGCAAAGCCTCGCTTGAAGATGGTCAGAAAGATAAGTTCTCTTTTTCCAGGAGATTGTTGAATGAATGATATTCAATGAATGATATTCAATGCATTAAAATCAATTTAAGTTGTAAATAATCATTTCTTGAGTAAACTGTAATCACCTTGTTTTCATGTTATCTTCAACCTCATTTACCGTAGGTTACTACTGGAGTCTGTTCTGATTTCTGAAATTTTAGTATCATACTGCCTTCTCGGAGTTCCACCCCGGTGAAAACCAATGAATTTACATCGACCATGTCCCGACTTCTTATTTATTTCACAATTATCATAAAGAATGTTTTATTTATTTCCGGCAATCAATCCAAGGCAGGTGGTGACATTCTGCGGCGATTAGAAGAATTCTGAGTGTTCAATGTAATACGCCACAACTCAAAACGTGTATTTAGATTGACTTATTAGGTTAGCGAAGATAACTTAGATATTGGCAACTGTCTGTTTTAATAAAAGAGAAATGTATGTTTTATTCAAAAAAAAAATATCTTGTTCAATAGCTAAAAAGTGAGTGTTCTAAAATATACGCAGTGAAAAATTCTAGTCATGAGAGAATTGACAGTCCGTATAATCTTAATTAAGGACAGTAGCCAGACTAAGGGTTGACACATTTATAATTACCGATTCAACTGTATGTAAAATTTTCAAATTTGTAATTGCATTTTCTCGGTTAAAGCAAAACGTGGGCCTGTGAAAATAAACTGTGTGATCTTGTAATTAGTGGCTATAATTTTCAGTAATTCCACACAGATAAATAAAGACGAGGGTTTCAATGGGGTTAACCGTAAAACGGCCAAAAAATTAGCAGTTAAGCCTTAAAATTAACAAAATTTAACCGCAAGTCGTTAAAAAAGCAAACCGTAAAAAAATTTCTTCTAATCGTAACGGAAAAAAAGTTACGGTCAGAAATAAAATGGCCATAATTAGCCATAAACTGTAGTTGGTCGCGAGTCGTTAAAAAAACGTAAACCGCAAAAATCTTTCTTTTTTAAAATCGGGAATAAACTGACCGTTCGCAATAAAATTCTAATCGTTAGCCGTAAAGGTCATCACCTCATTGAGACCCTTTAAGAGGAGTTTGTTGATTCGAGTGACATGTTGCAAACTCAAGTCTCATTAACAATGAAAAGCGGCCCAATGTGAAGAAAATAGATTGAGGCCTTGAGCATTGAAAGACTCGGAATAAAGAAGAAATACATTCGCTCTAGCCCTAAATTTTGCAATGTAATTATCCATTAACGTTCCACTGAGGGACAACTTCGAACGTTTACCTAATAACATTGCCTCTACTTACTTTTGTTCTTCTAAGAATGTATTCAGCTCCTGGAAAAGATTTGGAAAAGATCAAAAAGGGAAAAGAAAGAAGTATGGGCCCGGGCGCTCTAGAAAATTTTTTCATTATCGAGAAAGGTGTTTTTTTTTTTGGGTCTTGTCACGAACGTGGGACAAAGAAAAAAGCCTGAGTCCCCATGGAGTCGAAACTTAGACCTTCGGATTCCGCGCTCCGATGCTCTAACCACTGAGCCATGGAGACTTTACGGTGAGCGAAGTTGCGAAAAAACTTTCCATTATTTCCGTGAGACAAACGCAACCGGTTATTTTTTTCCCGGCTAATTTTTATTTTCAAAGGCGCCGTCTTCTTGCCTCGAAGCAGGTCATAAATTACTGAAAACAGATTTTGCAATTTACAAGCCACGATTTGAATAAAAACGTCAATCATGAAATTCGATCTCGCTATTAAAATGTGAATCTTCTAGGAAGAGGCCCGCCAAAATGTTTCATTTTACGCGGGAATCAAACGATGAAGGTAAAAGATTCCTACCTCAGGATGCTACACGCACGATAATCAGTAATGAGGTTAGCCAGAATACAGCTCCCAAGTGTTCGTTCGGCTGCATCTCCGGATCTTAGTACTTTTAAATTTGCGCATCCATGTGATTGACACTTTGTGGTTAACAACTATTTTCCCGTCTTTCAATACACCTAAAAATGACAATTTGAAAATTTGGCGTAAACAAATTTTATCGAAATTGTTGGAAGAACCTAACAAATTTTGTCAGCACGGTGCCCCCGCGCTTTGTGTCTATGCCCTTTATAATTAGGATCGTGCTGATGAAAATGAAACAGCTGTCATTTAGCACTGCTAATACTGAATTATGTTACGGAGAATTGTTGAAACGTTTAGAAAATCCGAAGTTTCATTTTCGGGTACTTTTATAGCGTAAATCTTCACATTCTTTTGGTAAGAATACCGTGAATTCAGCGCGCAATTATTCTCCACTAGAATCTGCTTTCAACTCAAATTGAGTAACTTTTAACTTACTCACCTGCTGCTGATGAATTGAGAGCAGATTAGACGTGAATTAGTCGGAGCTTATCTGCAACTCCAGTGCGGCTGCCACCTGTCAGTCTTCCCTTAGAATTACCAACCCAGTTTTGAAATTAAGCTAAACAATATACATCACAACGAACTTTAATTACATTGAAAATACTGCATGCAAGCATCTTTCTTTTCATCTAGGCGATTCGAAACTAGATACTGTTTTCAGAAAACTTTGTCTTTGAACTCACTCAAAAGTCTTTGAGTGCGTTCTGAAATACTTTTCAAATCTTTACTTTTTAAGATGATTTCGGGCATGTTGCCAAATGAATTAGCATTTTTCCTTTCTACTCTTCTCCTCTCTAATCTTTCAGTATTCACTAAGTTACAATATTGTTAGTTATCTTGCTTTACTTCGCTCTGTGATTGGTCGAAAAAACTCGTGCCACCAACACAACCAATCAAATGCAAAACTAAAACCATTTCCAACCTGCTCACTCGCGTTTTCCCGCGCTTCAAGCCGGTTTCCTGTTTTTACTTCGATTCCTTATTAATTAGTAATGGTGCAAACCTTTTTTATGATTGGTAGTTGAGTCAACTTCATGCGACAGCCAAAACAGGGTGCACCAAGGAAGTGTGCTGAGTGACGACCTGGGGTAGCACAAATTACTCAAAAAGTACATCACATTCTCAGGGAACGTTTTATTTTATTTATAATCAATACTAACCGGCACACTACTCGCTTAGTAATTTGTAGACTGAATACAGACTATTGCATCCATCACTAGTGTCCTGCATATATGATTCTACAACTGGTTTAAACTAAACAAATAATATTAATATTCTCTATTCAGTTTTAAGTCTTATCCTCTTTTCAAGTAAAGCTTGAATTATATGATGATATAATTTTTTTTTCATCACCTAACAATACACCATGTAAGTCGACACACTATCCACTTCTTTTCTCTGTGCTCTAACTCAGAACTTTAATTTCTGTTACAAAGCTCTTTATTTAAAATTCATCAATGTATCTGCTCTGAATTGGATGGGTGCATTTAAGAGACGTAAGGTCTGTCAAGTGAAGGCTATTGTTTGACTACTGTGTACCATTATTTTCTGTTGACGAACGAGCCAGTGTCGACTGGCTTATAACGCTGAAAACTGAATTCCCATTTATGACAGCAAACTGTAACTTCACCTTTGTGGCTTCGCCAATTAATCTGACTTACAACAATACTGTTTCATTAAATCCTTCACTGCTTGCCTTATTCCGTTCATCTTCCAGCAATATAGGAACGGGTTCAGACTCGAATTTAAGAACACAAGAGATGTCGTACATCTTATACCAAGTGTTATAGACACTGCACTGAGAGAGAAAAGAGCCCCAAAAAGACCCACTAATGATCGGGGAAGATAACAAGCGACTAACGTTATCTGGACCCAGGCCCCTGCAGAAACAGTCCTACGATATCTGGCTACATTCAGTGGAATTCCGGGTCCAGCTGGCTGCTCTACGTGGCCTTGTATTTGAGCTTGATTATGGCGGAGACGAAGTAAGATCCTCGTGTAACAATAAGCTGAAATTATCAAGCAAGTCAGAGTGACCATAGTAATGACATATCCAGTAATTATGAAACCCAAAATAGGCCAGAAGGCATCAATAAATGCACAAATTACACCTAATAGCCAAATAAAGCTTACAGCTACACCAACTCGCATCAGTGTTACAACATGTCTGTACCGCAGGCCCAGCAACAGAGCGAGAAGTCTGTCCACACTTATGGCGGTTACTATCACGCCAGAAACTAAGCTAAAAACCAAACTTATCTCATCCACCCACTTGCCAAGGAGGGTGCACAGATGTGGCCGTTCGTTTATATCCAAAAGCAACTGGGTGGCAAACAGAGGCTGAGAAACGAAGCCAACAATGAGATCAGTGATGGCAAGGCAACGATACAACAGTTTTGATGGCGGATGAAGGGAAGAATTTTTGTGGAGGGCAACGAGGATAACGAAGTTTCCCAGTGATGCAACGACGGACAGAATGATGTTGAATGCTACGAGAAATACAACATTGTACGTCCCATGTACATTGGAGCAATAAAGTGTCGTAGTTGGCTGGCGGTGTTCACTTTCAGTCATGTTCACCATTTTTCTTGTTTCCTTAAAATTGTTTCAATAAAAATTTGGTGAGTGTGGTTTATCAGAAAGTCTCTCAAATCTGATAAATCTTATGAAGGAGAGTGATTGCTACTGAAATGGACTCTAGATCCAAGATCCTGGATGATAAAATTGGGCAAGTGTGGCTCATTAGAAAGTCTAACAAATCTGATGTATTATGTATCTTACATATAGGAATGGTTGCTTCTGGAATGGACTCTAGATCACAAGGTCCCAGATGAAGCCCTGGACGGGTCATTGAGATTTTTTCGGAAAAGACTCAACTCTGGTAGTACTTCTCACTATCCAGAATTATAAATGGATTCCCGTGAACTTCAGATAAACCTGACAAAATGCTGATTGGTAACCTTGCAATGGATTAACTTCCCATCCCGGGAAAAGGGGAAAATACGATTTCTACGTTATTAACGTCACAAAAAAACCCCATAAAGTAGGGATAACGAGTACGTGCTCACCGCTTCATAATGGTTCGTAGTTTATTGACATTAAATTCGCTACTGTCTTGTCATTAATATTCTCCAGTTTCTTTTTGCTGAATAAATTACATAAATCAATATATTATAACTTGAATCCTTGATGAATTTCCTTACCTTCACTGGATATCTTTGAGACCACCGTAAGTGATAATTTCGAAGCAACTTAAAAGGGTCGATTTTACATGATACAAAGTGACCGGTGGAAACATAATTTTGAAGCCAATACAACCAATTGAAATTAGGAAACTAAGTTAATCATCGAAAACAATTTTTTCGATAACACTTCATGCTATTTTTGTTTATCACTTTTTGAAAATATCAGCCAGCTGCAGCCATTAATTAGGACAAAAAAGGTTTTATACAATCCGTTTTGGAAACATGTTTTGTTCTGGTCCAATTCGGTCTGCTTGAAACATTTCTGATCACTTTTAGTTGTGGTCATTTTTATCATTTCCCTCTCTGACACTTGCTTTACTAGATTAAGGTGTTAAAACTTTCCTCGTCACGAAAGTTCTTTTTTTCGTAACAAATTCACAGAAGACGAAAATTTCAAGAATCGAATCAAAGAACTCGTTGATCTTACTTTTCTTAATAGCATGCATTTTACTAGATTCAAACAGCGATTGATTGTTTTGACTCTTTTTTTCTCGCCAGTTTAGCCAACCACACACATCTAATGAAGAGGATCTAGAGCACCTAACAGGATTTACCTCTTTTTTCAACTCATGGTGTTTCTAAACAGTCATTCTTAGCCATAAAGAAGACAACACTGAAGCAATGCGCTTATACTCGAATCTAGGATCCACTTCCTTCGAGATTTGACTGACTGCATTTGACAATGAAATTTTAACTGTCTACCATTGTGTACGTTCAATATTATTTCAGATACACACTGGTTTAAAAATATCTATCGTTGTATAAATTCGTTAATCAAGTCTTAAAAAAGGGGAAAAACACGCACACATCTTTTACC